AATAATAATAATAATAAATCTAGGGAAGTAAGTCGAAGACTCCATGTTCCGAAGGCTGTGATGCTTTCCACATTTTGGGCTTACCCGAGGCCACCTGGGAAGGGCAGGGACCTGGGCACGCGTGGCCATCTCCTTTTCTGCGGCCTGTCTTCTCTTCATTTTCCTCAGTGCCCTGGCTTCGGTGCCCAAGTTAAGGAGTCCCTTTTCTGGGACGGTTCTGGTTTTCATGTGCATGTGGCTCTGCTAGAAACTTCTAGGGATATAGACACAGGGAAGACAGCTTCCCAACCCTGGAAGGGTATGGCCTGAAAGCAGAGCGCACAAAAATACTTCCGATACAAGGGAGACCACGGTCAATTACACGACAGACAAAATGTGCTGGGAGGACAGGGGAGAACCATCCATGGAGATGGAGGGGTCGGGAGAAGTGATGGAGGAGGAGGCATTGAGCTCTGGGGAGCAGGGAGTGGGAAGGGGATGCAGGGAGATCAAGTGGGGAGCACAGGGTCAGCAAAGGCACTGAGGCAGGTTCACGGAGGCCGTATTTGGAGAGACCGGGATAATCCCATTGGCTAGAGCCAGGTGGATGGAAGTGTTAGGCAATCTACCTAGAGGCTCAGTTAGGGGAATGGAAGGCTGTGTGGGGTGTGGATAGAGTCGGAGGGGAAGGGATCCGTCTCCCCCTCCAGAAGTCCCCACTTCCCACTGCTGCTCTCCCTGGACCAGAGTCTCCTTCTGCTCTGCTTGTCTGCTCCAGGGAGCTGGAGGGCTGTCCCTGTATGCACGGGGACACCCTTATGGGCACCTTCCCTGGACACCGAAAGAGGAGGGTGCCATTCTCCCATTTACAGTGGGACCTCGGACAAGCCTCACTGAGCCTCGGTCGCCTCATCTGTAAATCGGGGGTGATATGATGGTGATGAGAATCAAACGGAGAGGATTTATTGGGAGCTCTCTGTAAACCGAAAAGTGCTATAAAATGGCAGGGCTCATCAGAATGCCTCTTTCGATCGAGTCTTCCGGTGAAATTACAACCCATGCATTGAGTTGATAAACTCGCCTCCAAACAGAAGAAGAAGTGGGAACACACACACACACACACACACACACACACACACACACACACACACACACACACCCCTTCTTTCTTCCTTCTAAACTGGCTTGCAGGCTTTCTTCTGCTGATGTATGAGTCACACACACAGCCTCCTCCCTGGAGGAATTCTGGGATAAAGGTAGTCTCCATATTCAGATATGCATCTTCCACCTTCATCTGAGAAGCCCTGCTCTAAAATATCTCTGAGAGGTCACTCGTTTCTGTATACGTCTTCAGTATGCTAATGACTGATCTTTGACACAGGTATCTTGGTATACTGTGTGTCAGCTGATTTATTTATTTTTGCCCCATCTCTTTGCATAAGTAACAGGAGGTAGTTTATGATAAAAGTCATATTTTGATCAGGCTCTGTACTGTCAGCCGTGGCTGATGGGCTTCAGAGAAGTCATACACTTTTATGAGAAGGGAAAAACCCAATGTTCTCGGAGAAGACAAGTTTTTCCCAGCTCCAAGTTCTAAACGTTTTTTTTTCATCTGGGGCTTGCAAAGTCAACCTCCCAGACATTGTTTTAAAGCAGATGCGGAAGTGATCTCTAGAACCTTCCCACGGTCCAGGTTGATATCCAGACAGAACCTAGAATATTCACAGGACATCATGCTGAGAACGCTCTTTGAGTCATTGGCCCCTAATAGGAAAAAAAGACCAGAGGGTCCAGAATTAAGAACCTCCCCCTCCCTCCAGTAAGTGTTCCCTTCTTCTTCACCTTTGTGAGAATTCTGAGAGCTGCTGGGGGAGGGTGTGCGGCGAGCTTGCTGGCCGAACACACACAGCCGCCCCTCTTTCCTGGAGGTCCTGTGCACAGCACACACCAGGGTCTTCGAATATCCACGCACATCCCAGATTCAAGTGGGGAGACCGAGGCCAGGAGAGGTGAGGTGATGTGCCTATGGCCACCGAGCAGGAGACCGACAGACCACAGCCGCCCAGCTTCAAACGGCACGCGCTGTTGTCCGTCCAGCCGACACGGAATCAAACCACCGACCCATCAGCCCAATCGATCACTCAGTCTCTCCTTCCTTCTCCTCTTCCTCTCCCCACCCCGTCTTGCCTCTGTCGCCCTCCCTGATCCCTCCCTACCTTCACGAAAACCTCGCGCAAGCGCTCAGGGGCCCAGAGTCGTCTCCCGCTCCCTCCAGTCTACCTTTGGCTCGGTCTTGACCTTGCTAGGCAAAAATTTCTTTCACGTGCAACCCAAGTTTCATGCAGCATCGGCACACTTTCTTCTCAGGAGACTTAATAGGATAAGCGTGATGTTTCAAAAGAGGTCTAACCAGTTAGGTAGGGATTTATTATTTAAAAAAATCAATGAGAAACATTCTCAATAGTCGTGAACGTAAACATTCATTCATTTATTTCCTCGGTCCACCGATAGTTATATGAATGGTAACTGTGTGTTAAGAGTTGGACGTAGAGACGTGATGGGACTTTATGGCCTTTTAGATGAGGAAACATGATTGCAGTGAGGCATGTTTGGGGCCATGGTAAACAGGCCCATGGTTTTGCGGGAGCCTCTGAGGAGGGGTGGCCTAGTCTAGTCTGAGATGGGAGTGGTGTGAAGTCACGGAAGGCTTCCTGGAGTAGGTGAGGGGTGCATGCCTCCAGGTGTGCTTCCAGACTAGGAGAAATAAAACTCTTCCATCTGTGTTTTAGGGCCTGACTGTTAGAAAATTAATGAATAAACACTGTTCAGAACCCCAGGAACAAAACGACTCTGTAGAGATGTGCTGTGGCTAGATCAGTCCACCCATTATCAGCAAGCCCGACCAACCGTAGCCCCGGGCTCCCCTGCCGCCTCCCGCCATGCCTGCTCCAGGGCCAACGACGTGGGCCTCACAGACACGCACGGGCTGGGAAGGAATGAGGATCAGAGTCTGGCAGTGCTCTAACCCTGTGGAGGAGGAGGGCTGGCTTCCTCTCTCTCCACGCTGGGGATGGCTCAGGCCTCCCGTTCACCCCTCTGCGACATGTAGCACTGTCCGTGGTTAGGGCTTCCATGGCTGGAACTGGTCAACACTCGTACAGCAATTCTTGACTGGGGGCAGTTTGACCCCCCAGGGACATTTGGCCATGTCCCCTCCATGGCTGGAACTGGTCAACGCTCGTACAGCAGTTTGACCCCCCAGGGACATTTGGCCATGTCCAGAGACATTTTTGGTTGTCACGACTGAACGAGAGAGGGTGCTACTGGCATCTAGTGGGTAGAGGTCGAAGGTGGTGCTTAATATCCTACAGTGCACAGGACAGGCCCCCGCCCCCAGCACACACGTGCACACATGCGTGTGCACGCACACACACACACACAGACACACACAGACACACACCCAAGAATCATTCCGCCCAAAATGTCAGTGGTGCTGAGGTTGAGACACTGGTTCCCTAGGAAACAGTACTGTCGCTGAGGTGTTGGGGACAACCACCCAGTTCTCAATCTGGTGGCTTTTTTGTCATTCCCCACCTCTAAGCAAATGGCGATCCCCTCCCCCGTCCCATCTCCTCCTCCCACTCCCACTGACCCATTGTGTGGCAGCCACAGTGCCCGTAGCCCACTGTTTTAGGGACCTGTGAAAAATGTTTTCAATTCTTTTAAAATCAGGAAAAAAGTGAACTTTTAGATCAAAGAAAATGTTTTAATATATAATAATTTACATGTGTCTTTATACTAGTAGAGTCACCAAATGTACTATTACATTTTTTTTAATGGAAGAAGGCATACACAGAGAGGTGTTTCGTGCCCATGAGAGTCACAATGCATCCTTGGTTCAGAAGCTGTTCTCTGAGGCTGTGCTGAACGGTGCTTAGGCACAGAGATAGGTGTCAGAGCCGCTTTCTGGAACTTTCTCCATGAGAAGCTGCAAACCCTCAGGGCAGCCCTGGCTCTGCCACTGTGCAGACCCTGTCCTCGGCAGTCCGACCAGGGCCCAAGTCCCCGCTGGGGCACGTCGCCTAGATTTGCCTGATATATATGCTGATGGCCTTGCCACCTTCTGGCCGCACTGAGGACATTGTTTTCATGCTCCTCGTACCGATGGCCAGACGCTCAAATGTCAGCCCTAAGCACAGGTTTAAAGCCTTTGAAACATGGGACTGGAAGCTACTCATAATTGTAACAGCTAATATTTATTGGGTAAGATGCAGTGTTAGGCACAGGACTATGTGCTTTGTGCTCCGATTTTTTTCCAACTTTTTTGAAATGTAATGGACATATAACATTGTGTAAGTTTAAGACAGTACAATGTGTTAATTTGATACACTTATCTATTGCAGAATGATTACACCTCAGTGTTAGCTAACACCTCCATCACATCATATAAATTACCATTTCTTTTTTGTGATGAGAACACTTAAGATCTACTTTCTTAGAAATTTCAAAGTATAAAATAGAGTATTATTAACTATAATCAGAATGTTGCACATTAGATCCCCAAAACTTACTTGTCTTATAATATTTGTATCCTTTGACCAACATCCTCCTATTTCTTCACGCTTCTATGTAATTTTCTCAACTATCTATGAAGTAGATGTTACTGACATTCCTATTATATAAATCAGAAATTTGAGGCTTAGAAATATTAGTAGTTTATACGAGGTTGGTAAGTTATACAGCCAATAAGTGGTGGGGGGGGGGGCGTAATTCATAATTCAAAGTTAATTTTGGTTAAACGGCAGGGGTGTGAGTTGTCTATTGCCTCCAGAGCAGTCACTGTACTCGTTTATATTTGTACGTGACATCCATCTATTCATTTGGTCTACACTGGGCACAGGGATTGCTCTAGAAGCTGGGACAACAAAAGAAAGTCAGGCACAATCAATGCATTCTAGGAACTCACAGTCCAGCAGAAGAGAGAGATAAGGACCCTGTCTATTATAACAAACATGCTGTAATGAGGGCTTTGGCAGATGTCAACACAGGGTATGGGGGCAATGACACAATTCTGGGACCAGGATCCCTATTTACCCGACTGTCTGGGAGCAAAACGTGCCCATTTTCTGACTTTGGAGTTGGCGCCCATCCCCTCCTGCACACAGGTGTGTCTCTGCCAGGGTGTTGGGCCAGGTATCCACTCCCCTTGCGTGGCCCCAGACTTCACACAGAGGCCCTGCTGCAGAGGTATAATATAGAAAACCATTAGTCTTTTGAGTCTGGATCTAGAAATCCCAAGCCAGCCAACAGTTATTTCTGTCCCATTGCCTCTTGCTTCTGGAAGATCGTCCATCTGTATGGTTGAAATTAGGAAGTTCACTTGATTCTCCTTGAGATGCCCAGGTGTGTTCTTCTCTTGCTCCCAGCAGAGGGGTGATGATGTGCTCGGCTCTCACAGTGACGGCCAAAGCAGGAAGAGGGACGGCCAGCGCAGGAGTCCCAGCAGCAGCCACCTGGCCTACGGCGTTCTGGACATCCCTCCGTGGTATCTCTGCATCTTCTTGGGGATCCAGGTAATGCCACCCAGCAGGCACTGGGTCCAAAGAGACTGCCTCGAAAGCCACATTAACACACACCCAGGTCAGATCACTCAAGGTCCACCACCTCGGTTGTGGATATTCTTGTCATCTGTGTAATTGACCTCCAGGGGAACTCAACGCTCCTCTGGCTCTCTTTCTGTCCAGGAGTTTGGGGGTCAGGGAAGGAGTTAGGGAGGATTCTCTCTCATTGATAGGTCACATTAAGGACACCAACTGGACCATAGTTTGTTTGTTTTTTAAGATACCGATTTTAACTTATTTGATAGCCAATAGCTAAAAAGCTTGGGAAATTTGAGGAAACAGGGATTCTTGAACACTTCTGTTGGAATATTATTTGTCACAACATTTCCAGATGACAATTTGGTGATTTCTATCAACATGTAAAACACATATGCCTTTTAACTTAGTCCCCAGTGCTTAAGAATTTTTCTGAAGATATGTCGGCAAGACTTGTTAAGGTAAATATGAAGACGTTCTTGTAACATTATCAGTAATAAGAAAATCAAAATCGCACAACACACAAACAAACAAACCCCTAGAAACAATTAAAATATCCATCATAGGGAACTGGTTAAATAAATCGTGGCACAATCTAACAAATGACTTTTTTATGCAGCTGCTAAAAAGAGAAATATATATTTACCCTGCAGTTAGGAAATATTCTCCAAGATATATTAAGTGAAAAAAAAAAAAACACCAAAGTGAATAACTGTGTATACTGTGATATTTTTTGTGTGTGTTAAAAACACACAAAAAAGAGATAGAACGATAGAAATAAGTGTATGTAGTAATTTTGTATATCTTAAAGAATTCATAAAAAAAATAAAGGCATTTAACCTTCAGAAGAGGAACTAGGAAAGGTAGAGTTGCTTTTGACTTTCACTTTTTTGTGTGTGACTTTTTACAGCATGAATTTTCTAATCTCATAGATGTGTCTTTTCTAATTTTACAAACTGTTCCACGTGGGATATCACGGAGGAGATACACTTTTTTGTTTGCTGCTGCTTTGTGCTTTTCTATAAAATGAGAGGAACAAATGTAATGCTATTTTAAAAATATTATGAGCCAGTAAAATGGATAATGAAGACATTTTATTATGAAAGGATGTCGAATTTTGTTAAATGCTTTTTCTGCATCTATTAACATGATCATATGATTTTTTATCTTTCACCCGATTAATGTGGTATATCGTTTATTGATTTGCATATGTCACACCATCCTCATGTCTCAGAGATAAATCCCACATGATCATGCTGTAAATCCTTTTAACGTGCTGTTGAATCCAGCTTGCTGAGATTTTGTTGAGAAATTTTGCATCTATATTCATCAGGGATACGGGCCTGTAGTTTTCTTTCCTTGATGTCAGGGTTATACCAGCCTCGTAAAATGAGTTTGGGCATCTTCCCTCCCCTTTGATTGTTTTAGAAGAGTTTCTGAAAGATTGGCGTTAATTCTTTAAATGTTTGGTTGAATTCACCAGTGAATCCGTGTGGTCCTGGGCTTTTCTTTGTTGGGAGGTTTTTGATAACTGTTTCAATCTCCTCGCTTGCTCTTGGTCTGTTCAAATTTCCTGTTTTTTCATGATTCAATCTTGGTAAGTTGTGTGTCACTAGGGATTTATTCATTTTTTTCTAGGTTATCCAAATTGTAGTGTCTTATGGTATTTTGTATTTCTGTTGTATCAGTTGTAATGGCTCCTCTTTCATTTCTGACTTTGTTTATTTGGGTCCTCTCTTTTTCCCTTCAGTCTAAGGGTTTGTTTGTCTTTTCAAAAATCCAGCTCTTAGTTTTGTTGATCTTTTCTATTTTTTTCTGGCCTCTCTTTCATTAATTTTGCTCTGATCTTTGTTATTTCCTTTCTTCTGCTAACTTTGGGCTTAGCTTGTTCTTCTTTTTCTAGTTCCCTGAGGTGTAAAGTTAGGTTGTTTATTTGAGATCTTTCTTTTTTTCTTAATGTAGCGTATGTTGCTATAAAATTCCCTCTTAGAAATGCTTTGGCTGCATCACATGAGTTTGGTATATTGTATTTCATTCCACTTTCATTCGTCTCAAGATACATTTTTGATTTCTTCTTTGACTCATTGGTTGTTTAGAAGTGTGTTGCTTAATTTCTACAAATTTGTGAATTTTCCTCCTGTTATTATTAATTTCCAGTTTTATACCATTGTGATGGGAAAAAATTTGGTATGATTTGAATCTTCTTAAATTTACTATAGCCGTTTTGTGACTCAACATATGATCTGTCCCAGAGAATGTGCTCAGGCCTTCCTGATCGATGGTCTTGTCACCTTGTGCCTTATTTTAATAATATCTCTCTCCTTGTTCTTGTTCTTAAAGCCCCCACCTTGGTCTCTGTTCTGTCCTCCTGTGCTGTGTCCCTGCCTTTGTTTCTTACCCAGGATACCAGTTCCCAGCACTGGAGTCCTGCCCTTGAACCCCAGACCCTCTGGCTGGGTCATTGCTTCTTGCTGCCAGGCCTTCTTAGCTCCCACTACTTGCCTGGATCTGAGCCTGTCACTCATACCCAGGCTCCTCTGAGAACAGAGGCCGAGCTCCCGCCTCTGCCAGTGGGAATGGGGATGAGGATGGAGCAGGCAGTCACAGCACCTACAAGCCTGTCTACTCGCTCTTCTCTGCCTACAGCACTTCCTCACGGCCCTGGGGGGGCTCGTGGCAGTGCCACTCATCCTGGCCAAGGACCTGTGTCTGCAGCATGACCCCCTGACCCAGAGCTACCTCATCAGCACCATTTTCTTCGTCTCTGGCATCTGCACTCTCCTGCAAGTGTTATTAGGAGTCAGGTAGGTAAAACTTCTCCCTGTGGATTCTGACTTTTACCTGCCAGGGCATCAGCAAGTTTTCCTTGGCTCATAGCCAGGAAGGTGTTTAGGAAGCTGATATGACACGACAGAGGGAGCACAGGACTGGGAGTCAGAGCCTGGTTCATGTCGCAGTTCTACCACGTACTGTCTATATTAGCTAGGATTCTTGATTAAAGTAGCACGAATCCAGATTAGCTTGGGCAAAAATTTGTTCTTTTAACTTATCAGATCAGGCCACGAGAAAGGCAGGCTGCATCAGGCATCAGGAACATGTTTAAGGGGGAACTCAAATGCTGCTGGAACTTTCTCTTCGTCTCTTGTCTCTACTCAAGCCTGCCCTTTGCATTTGTGAGACCCAGGGCGAGAGTATAAATGGAAACCCACACAGTTTTATATTTGAATACTGGAGAGTTATAAGCCAAGTTTACAAACTCCTAAATAAAATATGGAAAGCCAAGTTTGAATTTAGAGTTCTCTGACTCCTTCAAGTCCTGCTTTGGAACCTGGCAGCACTGGGCCAGCCAGCTTCCGGCCTGCGGCCCTGCCCCTTCTCTCCCACCTCAGGCTCTGGATCATAAATGGTCTCACACGCATACATCTGGGCACTCCACCCTGCACCTGCAAGCTCCACCCACACATCCCCCCTCCACACGCACACCAGCTTCCCCAAACAGCTGTCCCGTGACCGTCTCTCAGCCCTCGGGGTGTGCACACTCGCATCATGGTCTGCCTTCAGCAGTACGGACCCGGGGAAGAGGCTCAGGCAGGGTCCAGAATAGGCTCAGGGCCATTTGGGCAGAGCATCCTTGGGCCTCAGAGGAGGGAGGTGCACGGCTTGAGGTGGACATATCCCCTCGGCCTGGCAGACGCCTCTGCAGAGAGACCAGAGTGGGGCCCTTCAGTGCATCGGGCTAAGTGCAGGGGGCTCCCCTTCCCCAGGCTGAGGGCAGGGCTGTGTGCTCACTCCGCTACCAATGCCTGTGCCTCATTCTGGCAGACAGGCTTCCTGCACGGGCTGCAGGCCGGGCTGCTGGCAGTCCTCACATCTGCCCCTAAAGCAAGCAAGTGCTGCCCTGGCTGGCCTCACATTTTAAAATTCCAGGGAAGAGCTCCGATCGGCACAGCTTAAGCCAAATGCCCAGCCCTGGACCGAAGAGGGCAACCAATATGGCAACTCCCATTCAGGAAGTTTTTCCGGCGAAGCAGGGAAGACAAGTTCTGTTCTGAGGAAATAAGACGACAGAATTCACTGAACTGTATCTGTGGTTTGAAACCTGTCCAAAAAGGCAGTTGATGATGCTATGTACCCTTCTCCCAATCAGATGGTATGATAACAGCAATCCCCTTTTTTAAACCATCAAGTCCCTTACATTTGTAGGAAGGCTGCTAGACTCATTGTAAGTAAATTAGAGTCCTGTTGCTCTTGAGCTGGCCCCGGGCAAAATTGTGAGGAAGCCTTCCTCCTCCTCATTTCCACGCATCCTCTCCTCCCGTTCTTCTCTTCGTTCTTCGTTCTTCGACCAGCCCCTGCTCCACCTGAACCCCAGGTGGCTCCCTGGGGTCGTCATCTTCTCAGGAAATTCCTCCCTGTGGGCCCTCAGGACCTTCCCAAGTCACCTCCCTCCCCGCAAAACCTGTGACTCCTGTATCTTCCCCCTTTAATACCGATTTAGCCCCTAGTTCAAGGACAGATCCGGATTTCGCTCGGCCTGCAGAGTAGACAGATTTTGGTATCCTCGTTAAGGAAAAGAACACAAAAGTATGAATACAAAATCATGTCACGAAAAAGAGAATCTTTACTGAGATTTTAAAAAAAAAATCACAAGTTACAAATTTTTTAAAAGGGGCTAAATGCCACAAATGCCACAGATTCCAAAACATGGCCTGATATTTTTTATTTGACTTTCTCCCGGTTTCCTGGATTTCCCTACCCCAACACACACATTCTGTGTTTATAAGCTCTTTGATCACTTTCTCATTTTATAGAAAGAAGGAAAGGTAATTCAGTCATTCTTCTAGCATGGGCTGGTGAAGGTTGTTATTACTGCAAGTTGGAATGCATTTCTAGCCTTCACGCACACATTGTAGTACTGCTATCGATTCGTGGCCTATAAACACAGGAATTCTGATAAATGGTACGTGATTCCTAGGAAAAAATTTTAAGTGCATGACACATTTATAATTGTATTTTTTTGTTGTTGTTTGCGTTATTAATTATATTCCCGAAAGGAGAAAAATTCCCATTTTGCTTCCACATAAAAGAGAACCAAATTTTCTCTGGCAATTTTGCATATCTGAGGGTTATCAAGTTTTCCACAGACTTGCTTCTGGCTTCACACATTTCAAATCTTGTTTCTCACCCACCAATCACAAATGTCAAGTGCCAGGTGCTATAGGACACAGTTAGATCTTAATGTGACCTCTGGTCTTGCAGCTTCACGCTGCGATGTAGAGCAGGCTGGCAAAGTGGGCGGTAGAATTATTGCTGGAAACCATGAGTACACCAAGACGGCTAGCAATAAATTGACTATACATGGGTAGTTTAGTGGTCTCGAACCATATGAATATATCCCATTTCATTCAAACTAAACTTATCCTGACTCAGTTTCCCCTTAACCAGATCCTGAAAGCGCTCGTGGCCTTTCAAGCACCATCTGATGTGAAGTTTAGAGTTAGGGAGTTGGACATGGAAAGAGACGGTAGCCAGTGTGACCGAAACCTTCTACTTCTGCTGATGTTACAAAGGCACATGGCTGGTGAACACACTTGGACTTTAGGAGCCGTGCCGATGGGGGCTCTTCACTGTAAGTTTGCTTATGACCTGACCTGTAACAGGCCTGAGCTCTGCCTTGGGGTTGCAGAGGAAAACGGAAAACATTTTCCACAATGTGCTTCTGCCTGAGCCATCTTCAGAGAAAATGACTCGGTGGGGGAAAAGTAATATCTGTTTATTCTTTATCAATTATCTGAATCAAGCCACGTGAGTGTAGACTGACATGGGTCAGTCAGTTGTTTCCAAGACAGGCTGACTGCATCCAAAGGAGAATACTCACTTTTACTGTGGTTCTTTTCTTTTTTTTTGCCTAAATCAAACATAGACACTTTCCGAAAACACTTTCTTTGCAAATCATTTCCAGGAAATACAACAATTCTTTCATTACCGCCTTCTCTGTGGAGGAACGGGAGACTAGTGCCTACATCCTTGCCAGGTTATCTCCCTTCTTCCCTCTTCCTGCTTCTGACACCACCTCTGTGAGCCCAGGTTTCTTCCAAACCCCTACCAAGGACTCAGACAGGTACAGGGATTGGTCTGGTCTGTTCCTCAGGCCCCTAACATCCAGGACCCACCCCCCCCCCCATCCAGGATTGGCCCCAGGAAGGTAAGATGCTGCAGTGGCATTAGAGAGGTTCGCAGCAACTGTCTGGCCACCCAGGAGCCCCCGACCCCTGCCCTGGCCCCATGAGAGTCACAAACACAAAGTTCCTCCGGATGGGGAAGTTCTTTCCCTTAAACCTGAGATGGAAAAGCTTCGAGCTTGGAAACTGGACACCTGAACCGTGGTCCTGGCGTCTGTGCCGTGGGAACTTGGATAGGTCCTTTACCCTCTCTAAGGCTCAGTTTTCTCATCTATAAAATGAAAAGGTTGGACTATACAGTTTCTAAAAGTCCTTTCTAGCTCTACTATTGTGGGCACCTATGATGTTGACAGAGAAGATCATGAAGGGTCTATTTCAACTGGAGAATCAGTGGCGAAAGTGCCTGTGGGTTTAGCCTTCTAGTAAGTGCTTTGAGAAATACAAACTAATCAGGAGTTTAGGGTTCAAAGAACTCACGCCCTAACTAAACACACAAAGAAAGAGGAAACTAAAATTAGGAAATAAAATCAGGAAATAAAATCATGCTAATGTCATTACACTGAGGTGAGGAGTGGGGGATAAACTTGAGTTTGGTTCCGCCCAAGGAAATGGGCTTCCTTCTCAGAGGCTAAGCAGTTAGTCTCTAAGACATTATAGATTGCAAAATCTAACTGATAGCTTATGAGTTAAAGTCCAAGTAGATTTGATTACTGGTTATCTGCTAACCAGTATTTCGTAATGTACTTTTCTGAATATTGCTGGCATTGCAAAAAGACTTCAGAAGGTCTTTGTAATTAAAACCACATTAAATCATCAAAAAGGAACAACAGGCAATCACTGCTGTTCTTGATAGAAGAGGTAATGAGCACGGTGCCCGGTGTGGGGCCAGCAGCTGTGATGAGTTAGGGCACCGGTTAGGGGTGTCAGTTGCATCCCGCAAAGTCCTTCCTCACTTAGGTGCTCACTTCTGAAATTCATGTAAGGACACACATTGTCATTCATTTCAAAATGAGTTATTAACTTTAAAAGGCAATCACTAGAGGAAATCAAATATTGACTGTCTGTAATTCTAGGTTTTCACTCCATCTCTGGAATTATTTTTGAATTTATCTGGTAACCTCTTTTCCTGGAGTTGTACCAGATGACATGTCTTCCTTCCCATTTTCCCGGGAATATCTCAAGTGTAGAGCAAGTACTTCTGCCACAAAGTGCATTCAGATGTCTTGTGCTTGCATGTGGTTTGGCCAGAGTCAGCCCTGGCCTTGGTCCTGTCCATCTGCTGACTTCCCTGCAGCTGAGCCCTGCCCTGCCCTGCCCTGCCCTAGATCTGCGTCAGAAAGACCAGGCCCACCATAAAGGAGTCTGCAGCCTTCCCGCTTCTGCTGCCGTGTTGACGGCCAAGTCACCGAATGCTCCACTGGGGCTCTGGGCGGAACAGCAATAGTGGTGGCTGTTGGGGCGGAAGAGTAGCTTGGTGATCAGTCACATCAGAGGAGGGACAGGGGTCGATGTGTCCCCAGGAGAGGGCAGGTGCTTCTGCTTCTCCTAAGTCTAATTTGAATAGTTACCTACAGGGAAGGTATGCGATGATGGGCTTTCCCGCAATTTAGCAGGTCCTTATCTGCTCTGTGTAGGGAGCTCAGTAAAAAGGGGAACAAAGTGCTCTTTGTCTAACAGGGAAGTACGGTTGACCCTCGGGCAAGGCCTGCCTCTCCTTTCCATCCCTGACAATATTTGCCTTTGTGGTCAGAATCCTCACGTTTCTGTGAAGAGGAACTGTTTTTTCACTTTTCCAAAGCCTTGAGAATTAGATAATGCAGGTAAAGTGCTTAGCTCAGTGCCTGATTTAAAAAAAATGTGTCTTTCGCAACAAGAAAGGGATTATACTACACACATAGTTTTGCACCGTCTCTCCCTTTTTGAATAATTAAAAAAATTTAATTGTGGTAAAAAGCACCCCTCTCCGCCCCCCTCTTTAAAAACATACACAATGCGTATGTTTTGTAATAGTTTTGTTTCAATACGCATTCTTCTGCAGTAGCACTTTTTTCAAAAAATGATCACTTAGTATGCCATCCCCGTCCTCTAGAATACATAATTATGTTCAGGTATATTTCACCATTTCCTAGTAAATGACATCTACGTTGTTTTGAGTTTTTCACGATAGTAATAGTGACCAGTGACCAGTGCCGCTGGAACTTCCCACCCGCATCGGCCTCCCCAAGGCAGGGTCGCCTTGCCTCCCCTGAAACACTCTCGAAATAACAATATGAAAACACCTCGCAGTTTTAAAATACCGTATACACTTCGCTGTTAACACTCCCCCCCTGGGGACACATTTCTATGACTTTGCCAACCCCTAGCACCAATCTTATCAGGCTTTTTAAGATCCATTCCTGAGACCGCAGATTTTGACACTTTACCTCTTCTTAGAAAACGTGCACGTCATTGTAGAAATGGCGGGGAGTTTTCTCCTCTTCAGACTTGAGCAGACAGATGAGGCGGTGAAGGGCAGAGGGAGAAGTAAGATGGACAGGGAGAGTCTAGCCATGTTTTTTCTACGAGGTGTTGTGAGTGTGGCAATGGAGATTTGTACCCAGATCCCAATCTATCTGTGCCCAGACCGGCTCTTTCTGTAATGGCTCCTGAGGCTGGGTGTGGGCGAGGTGGGGCGGGGAGGAGATGGGAGGGGTGAGAAATGAACCTGGAGCATCTGAATACAGAGCGGCAGGCCCTTAGGCACCGTAACATATTCGTAAGTCCCCTTCAATGCTGTTAGGAACAAGGTGAAGTGTAAATTATTTGCTAAAGTTAATACATAACATGTCAGGACTTGTCTGACGTGATGAGAGCACTTCTTTTAAATCAAATCTAACAGAAACAAAAATGAGAGAGAGCGGGTGGGGGGATCTGGAATAGATCCAACGGCGACACTAGAAGGATAAGCTTCAAAACGATTTACTAATCCAGTAAAAACAACTCCATCCCAGTGGACACATGTTGTCAGATCCCATGAAGAGAGGCACGCATCAGACATCGACCCCTCAATGTTAACATGAGCGCCTACAATCGACGCATACTGCAGGTCAGGCTATGCTCCCCGCGGGGCTGAGTCGAAGGCGCGGAGCAAGGGGGCACTGATGCAGCCCACGCACATGGTTTCCAACCACACAAAAGAAAACGAGGCACAGAGAAAACAAATCTTAGAGAAACAACTTTCAAGAAATGAGAATTTCCAACGACAGTAAAAAACAACAACAACAAAAAAAGGTAGGGGGTGCACTATCACATCTGTTATTTAGAAGAAACATCAAAGAAAACGTCCCGATGTGAGCTGCCTTCGCAGGAGGCGCCACACACTTCAGAGGGAATAATAATGAAAATCACCCTTATTAATTGAGCTCCTCTATGCTCTCTCTGGGCAATGGGCTAAGCATTTATGTGTATTTTATCTTCATAGCTACAATTTGGGGAGAGTACCGTTATCTTTATGTTATCAAAGCGGACACAGAGGCTTGCAGAAGTTGGACAACATGCCTAGGTCACACAATGACAATGTAGAGACAGATTCAAACTTGCCTTGGGTCTATACCATATTCTTAATTAGTGTCACAGGGCAGTGATGTTGAGTGAGGAGACCCAAACACGCATCCTGGTTAACTCTATGACCTTGGGGCCAGATTCCCTAAGTATGAAATGACAAAGCCAGGCTGAATAAGTTTCAGAGGGCTCTTCTAGCTCTAAAATGTTCGGTTTTTAAAATTGTTATTTTCTGTTGTTTACAAGAGAGACATTTAAGTCACAAGGCACATATAGAACAATAGTGAACCATATTCAAGGGCAAATTTAAAAAAAATAGGGTATACCATCATGGTAGCAAATGAAATTAACTATGAAATTAAAAAGAGCATTGAGATGCAAATAACATCAAGGTCACCATAGAAGGTAAGAGATACATAGAACAACAAAAGCCTAATAATGATACTGAATGCCCACATTCCATACAAGTGCCAGGAAAGAGCATAGAAGAAAAACTAGCAGAAATGAAAAATTTTATGGATCTATCTATCTATCTATCTATCTATCATCCGTCTATCATCTAGCTATTGTCTATCAATCAATCAATCAATCGACCAATCAAAAGGGTACTGACAAGAAATTAGAATGCCTAACAAAATGGGGTGAAAGTGGGGAAAAAATGGAAAATGGAGTTGGAAGGTGTGAGTATAGAATAATGACAGAAGAATTTATTGCTGCAATGTATGAACATAAAGATGAGGCATGCTAATACACCGAAACAAATAAATGGAAAAAATTCATCTTGAACATAAAAGGTATTTAGAAATTACAAAAAGGCAGGAAGTGCATATATCACATTATCCCAAATACACGTAATCATCTTAAAATAACATAACATAAACAGAATTAGAAAAGCGTTCAACTACTTGAAAATTTCAGAATATTCCCTTAAAAAATGTCTGAATTGGAGATGAATTTCTGCATACAATTAGAGAAAACATTTTTAATAACTGAAAATAAAGCTCACAATCATAAGAATTGTTATAAATATATTTTGACAGTATCCAAACTCTATGTAATGAGTAGGCAATTTATAGACAAGGGAAAACAGACCTAAAATCACACAAATGCGTCTACATCTTTCATGGCTTAATGAAATGCAAATTAGCATTTGTTCGGGTTTCACGGCACGACTACGAAACTTTAAAAAAAAAAAGGAAAACGATAAAATCCAATGTTGGCCGGTTGTTTTTTTTGTGTGTGTGGCACCAGACTCAGCAATGGAGGAATAGAAATGGAAAAGAATGCCTCGCCCTCACGGAACTCGGTAAAACATACAGACGCGGCTAAGGCATTGGTGGCAAGCCAGCATGGCGGCGCGTTTGTAAGCGTAGTTATAAGGTGTTTATAGTGATCTGGAGAGTAAGGCAGTGTCCACGGTTACTTTGTTAGTAGTAGAGCCAGCAGGGAAATATGTAACTAGACTATAAGTGGGGGTTTTGTCTCACTCACCGTGGTGTCCCCAGTACCCTGGCACCTAGTGTCTGCCACCTAGCAGGTCCTCAATAAACATTTGTTGCATGAATGAAGTGTGCATATGGAATTACAGCAGAAAAAAAAAATTAAAATACAGGCCCTGCATTATGTGCTCTTTGGTTATACCCATATACAAAAATTTATATATATATATTTTTATATAT